TTTTTTTAAAAGATCAATAAAATCAAGAGAAACTCAAAAAAAAAAAAAAAAAAAAAAAAAAAAAAAAAATCAGGCACCATATAGTCAACACAGAGGAAAACAGAACTATATGTTAGGTAGAAACATGAAAAGTATGTTTAAAATTCTCAGCTGAATATCTAAAGATTAAAACACAATGTCTGTGGTGCACACCTATAGTCCTAGCACTCACGAGGCTGAGGCAGGAGGTTTGTTGTGAGTTCAAGATCAGCCTGGGCTATAAAGTGAGCTCAAGGCCAACCTGAACTGCATAGTAAGACCCTGTCTCAAAAAGAACAACAAAAAAAGCAATGTCTGTGATGAAAAACAAACTGGACAGAATTAACAGCAGACCAGAAATTATTTTTTATAAACATTAATGAATTTGCATACATTACTTTTAGAAACTGTTCAAAATGAAACAGAAAAGAAAAAAAAAAACCTACTCAGGTACAAAATGACAGTATTTAACAGAATAATTCACTATGTGGATATTACAAAATCAAACAGTTCTCTTTGTGTTGTGCAGGTTGAAACACTATATGTAGGGAAGCCAGCTCTGCAGAAAAAAGGAAACAGTCTAAGGCCATACCACCTTGAACACTCCTGATCTCATCTGATCTCAGAAGAAAAAGAGGAAACACATTTAACCACCATACTTACTTTAATCTGCTTCTAATAGTTTACTAACTTTCTATTCACCAATGCCTAAGCTTTATATTCAGCTGATTGTTGGAATCATGGATCAAAAAAGTTTATGCATCTGCTAAGATATTTTTTCATCTCTTTTTTTTTTTTTTTTCCCTGAGACAGGGATTCACTATGCAGTTCAGGCTGACTTTGAACTCTCTATGTAGCCTGGGCTGGCCTAGAACTCATAGCAATCCCCCTGCCTCAGCCTCCTGAATGCTGAGATTACACATGTGTAACACCACACCCAGCTTCACTTTCAACTTCTTAATAAATTTTTAAAGATGGTGTCTCACTGTATTTCCCAGGCTGCCTGAAAACTCCAGGGCTCAACCAATAATTCTTCTTCCATCTTCCAAGTAGCTCGGGACTAACACTCATGAGACCATGCCTAGCACTATCTTTGAAACTCTTCTTCATTTCCACTTGATTTCATTTTTTGTTTTTGTTTTTTGGTAGAACCGGGGATTAAACCCAGGCCCTTGCACTTGCCAGGGAAGTGCTTATTCCACTGAGCCATCTCCCCAGCCCTTTTGATTTCATTTTGGAACACACCTAAAACCTTCAAATCCTCGTAAATATATATCTTTTATTTTTGCCTGAATGGATAGTCTCAGACTTGCTGTTCTGCATCAAGCTGTAAGACTATTATAAAGACAAAAAAGAAATTAATACAATTGAGCTTATATGGCATAAGTGATTCAGTAAGGGGCTACAGGTTACAAGTGTCCTTCACATTTTTCTGGTTCATCTGTTCAGTAGACTACCATGCTCAGGGGGACTATTACCTCTAATTATTGGCTGTTATTTAAATGATTATACCAGCTAAAAAAGCATAAAGTACCACTAGTTCATGCTAACTACTTAAGAAAAAATGATCTTGTTAAAAGTTAGAGTCAGTCAGCTATCAGTTAAGAACAGGAAGTGATGAATTGCCATGAAAATAACATCACTGGAATGTCATGTCAGAGATGAAGTTCCCCTACTTGTTGAGTAAATCAGGAGATAAAAACGGAAGAAATAGCACATAAACGGTGTAGCAAAGCAAACAAAGAAAACAGGTTAATATTAGCTGGCAGTTAAGTTTGCCTGTAAGTCATACAGAAGGTCCCTGTCCTAACAAGATGGTACAACATCTGAATTACATTTAGACTCTTAGCTGTGTACACAGAAGTTTAACAAGTTACAGAATTACAGTCTGGAAAACAGGAAAAGTACTTCTTGGTGCCCTTCTGAAACCTCATCTATGGGATAGCTAGAACCAGATTTTTCATTCTCTCATGGGTGGGACCTTGTATTACCTAGTTTTTTATTGGTAGAAGAGAGTGGAACATCCTCCATTCCCAGATTTGAAGAGGGAGGTCCTGAGGTTGATCTTGACAGAGATTTAGCAGCATTCCTGGAGTGCTGAACATTCTGAACAGAGTAGGCAGTCAAAGACTTGGGTTCAAAGTCAGAGACACCATTCTCTAGTATAGATCCTGTCCAAAAAAACCCCAGAGCTTTAGAGCACAGTGCAGAAATCAGTCAGGCAATTCTAAGTACACCAAATAGGCAGGCAAAAACCTTTTAGGCAAATCCATGACCCTTCAAATTTTTTTTTTTTTTTTGCAGAACCGGGGATTGAACTCAGGCCCTTGCACTTGCCCAGCAAGTGCTTACTCCACTGAGCCATCTCCCCGGCCCCGACCCTTCAAATTTTGTAAGGAAAATAAACCAACAAAACAGGACAAGGGTCAGAATCAGATGAGTGTGACTGTCAGTAGCTTCTGGCTTCCTCCTAAGAGGCCCTGGGCATGAGGAAAAGCAAATCTGGCTAGATAGGACATAACACTGCAACTCCATAAGCGGAGAGGTGGGGGCCTGACCCTTAGCTCAGTTCTTTAAGTGGCTGCTTCGACAAAGCAGTCAGGCTCAGGTTGCTGTGGTTCGATCCCCACAACTCCAGCCAGCCAAACATGACCTGAAGGCATTCAGAGAAAAAAAAAAAAAAAAATCCATAAGTGGAGAGGCAGTATCACCAACTTCAGTAGCTTCTGTACATTACATTGAGGAAAGAGAATTTTATATTGTCTCAGGGAAAAGACTTTTAAATTTTAGGGAGCACAGAATGGGGTAAAATTAAAAAATAAGGTTAGCCCAGAAAAAGAAAACATGAAACCCATTGGCTATCTTTTTTTGGGGTCTGTGTAAGCACAATATTTTTTCTCTAGGGAGAGTATATATGTGTGCATATGTGTGTATCTGTCTGAACAAATAAAAGAAATTCTACAAAGCATAGCATAATTCCTATAATAACACTACATTTATAAAACTGAGAACTCAAAAGCACCGAGGTGGACTAACAAACAAGTAATTTTCAAAAAGAGATATTTCCAGTATCTTCCCAACACAACAAAGTGGTTGATAAACATGTACTAGATGTATGAATTCACAACTATTATGGATCTTAACTCTTGACTAGAAAACAGATTATCTCATCATCATTTTTCAAAATAAATAGGATAAATTCTCTGCTTTTTCTAAATAGTAAGCTACTCCTATTACTAGGTTAGAAAATTTTTCATATGATTGGAGTTGAAATATAAGACAGGAGAATAAGAATTGCATTTTTTTTTTTTTAAGAATTGCATTTTTCTAGGCCTCTGATAAGTATAAATTTCTACTTTTCTACACAAAGATAACAAAAACTAGTAAAAGACCAACTGCATTTAATTTATTGATTGCTTTCTCAACCAGATTTGTCTTTTTCAAATGAATGCAACTTTTGAAAAACTTGCTAAGACACTTACCTCTCCTATGCAGTGTCTCTGCCACGGTCATCTCAAGATCTTCTGATTCTCTGGCCTCCATTGAAAGTGTCTCCAAACCTTCGCTGAGCGAGTCCACAGACTCTGCATGCTTGATGGTACCATTGACATGGTAACCATTAATGCTACCTTTGTCTGCAGAAGGTGCAGACTGCTCTTCTTGAATGGAAACTGATTTACTGGAATCTGGGATATTGTTTCTTGTTTCTGCTGCAGGTTTTGGTTTGCTTTTCTTCTTTTTGTTCTGAAGTTATTGAAGATTTGAAAAAAAGAAAAGAAAAAGCAGACCCTTCCACAACACATCTCAAAGAGATAAGCATCTCTGGCTACCCAAACACAATAAATAAATGCTACCAATTTCTCATGTTTTCTTCTAGAAATTGAACTCTTTTTTTTTTTTTTTTGGTGGAACCGGGGATTGAACTCAGGTCCTTGCACTTGCCAGGGAAGTGCTTATTCCACTGAGCCATCTCCCGGCCCCCATATTTTTGTATATGATGAAACACTACCTAAAATAAAATTTTACTGTGTAAAACTCTATGCTTTGGATACGCTCATAATATAAATAAACATACCACAATTCCTCATGGTAAAACCTACCTTAAACAAAATAAAAAGTTACAAAATATGAAAAAAAGTATAGCTTTATATTCAAGTAAGAATTATACAGTTTTAAAAAGAAAAAGCCCAAATGACATAATAGATGTTATGTAAGCAGTAAACATATGGAATGAAGCATAAGCCTAAAGTCATATCTATTAAAACTACTACAATATCTTTTTGATCTATTAGATTAACGAGCAAAACACTACAACACTATAGAGTTGAGAGTACCGATAATTTTCATGTAACACTGGCAGCAGTAGCAATCTACAAATAATTATCAAAACTATAAATGCACAGACTTTTTGGCCAGCAATTTTACTTATAAGAATTTATCCTAGGTGAGGCTAATATGTTCAAAACTATGTTTTATATCAGGTTTCTTATTGAAGTATTATTAATAAAAGTGAAGGATTTGAAACAACTCAAAGCTTGATCAATAGGTAATTGGTTAAATAAATTATAGTACATCCAGACATCAAGATGATTATACATCCATAATAACAAAAAAGTTCGTTAAAATATGAAATATTAAAATATGTATATTTTGATATACTGTATATTAAAATATGAAATAAGCTCAATATATTACATGAGAAAAAATATGCTTATATGCATAAAATATCTGGAAAGTTACATTTGAAAAATTGCAATGCTGTTTGATTTTGGAGCAAGAAACCAAAAAGCTATAGAATACAAGTAAAATAAGGGCCTGCCAGATAGTTCAGGGGACTAAAGTGCCTGCTTAGGCATAGAGCAACGCTGTCCCTGGGACATGCTGAGATGGCAAATGAGATTGCACATGGTGTTGCATGGTAGAGATCCTTCTGCCTCAGCCTCCCCAGTGTGGGGATTATAGGAGTCCACCACCATGCATGGTTTTGGGGTTGGCAGGGTGTGCATGGGGTTCTGGAGCTGGCACAGCATGTGGTACTGGGGATCAAATCCTGGTCTTTGCACTTGCCAGGCAGGTGCTTAGACCACTGACCTAGCTATGTTTATTCAAAGCAGTAGTAAATTAAGGAAATAGGGAAAGCTACCAATATAGACAGCTTCAGGACAAGATCAGGGTATTAGGTAACGCTTAAAAAATTCTCAAGGGTTACTAAGGCCAAGCCCTGACAGAACTGCTATTCAGGCTGGCCTTGAACTCACTTTTTAGCCCAAGCTGTCCTCGAACTGCAACAAACCTCCTGCCTCAACCTCCAGAGTACTGAGATTACAGGTGTGGGCCTAGTCAAGAAAGCATGTCAAGGGCTGGGGAGATGGCTCAGTGGAATAAGCGCTTCCCTGGCAATCCCCGGTTCCACCAAAAAAAAAAAAAAAAAAAAAGAAAGCATGTCAAGGGCCAGGAGACAGCTTAGAAGCACAAGTGTCTGCCTGGCAAGCACATGGTCCTGAGTTCAATTCCCAGTATCAAAAAAAAAAAGCATTTCAGGAGCCCAGCACTAACCTAATGCAGGAAAAGAATATTCTACACCGGTTTCATAGGGACTTGACTAAAATTCATACTTTATTTCTTAGTGCGCCTACATTAGGGTACAGAGCTATGGGAAGATTACGAAGACCAGATAGTACCCCTTGGGAAAACATCTTTTTTGGGGGAAAGCATCCTGGAGGTTGTTTTCGAGACAAGTTCTTTCTATGTAATTCAGGCCGGCCTTGAACTCACTGTAGACCCAGGCTGCCTCAAAGTCACAGCTCTCATCCTGCCTCAGCCATCTAAGTGCTGGGATTACAGGCATGAACCACCACACCTGGCCCATATCTTATTTTTTTGTTTTATGAGTTTTTTTCCTCTGTATTTAGGACAGGATCTACAGGCTGTACAGGGTCTCACTATGTAGATCGGACTCGGACTCTTAGTGATCCTCCTGTTTTCAGCCTCCCAAGTGCTGAGATTACAGGTGTGCACCACAACACCCAGTCTCAATCCGTCTCAGCACGCCCCGGATTGAACCCTGGCCGCTACACTCTGCCTAAGCAGGCAGCTTTAGTCCAGTGGGCTATCAGTCTTACCCTCCACATCTTGGTTTTAAGTGGATAAAGGAGAAAGAACCAAGAACTATGTCAGGCATTATATTAAATACTTGCATGCATTAATATTATTTTTTTATTTTAGAGATGAGTAAACCAAGACACACCAAGGTTAAACAATACTCCAGGTCACAAAGCGATTATATAGTGGAACACGATAGAAATCCAGTCCTGACCCTCTCCAGCCCAAGTACCTTCTACTGGCCTCTACTTCAATAGCAGACCACTCTGTACTTCACAACCCCTGTTAAGTGATTAAGGCACTTAACACCTCTAGCAGCAAAAGCCCTCTTTAAGCTTAAAATCAAAGTTCATTGATATCAGGAATCTTAACACAGTTACGTTAAAAATCTGAGTGTTTTACCTGATCTATTATGTAAATATTATGGAAAACCTGATCACTTTCTCTGGAGCAGCTCTGCATTCCTCTCCACATGCTCTTTTTTTTTTTTTTTTTTTGGCAGAACCGGGGATTGAACTCAGATCCTTGTGTTCGCCAGTCAAGCACTTATCCTACTGAGCCATCTCCCCAGTCCCTCCACATGCTCTTATTTCAAGCCCTATCTACAATCCTCTCAGCAAAAAATCACTGTTTCCTGCCTTCAATCACAGAGAAGACACTGAGTAGTACTCAGTACTACCTGTATCTCAATATTAAAGGGGACACTTTAGACAGATGAAATGAAGATATACTTTTAACAGTTTTTTTATAATCTTTTATTTATTTATTTGACATAGGCTCTATTTTGTCTTGGTTTTTTTGGCAGAACCGGGGATTGAACTCAGGCCCTTGCGCTTGCCACGGAAGCGCTTATTCTACTGAACCATCTCCCCAGCCCCCTCGACATAGGCTCTTGCTATGCAGCTTGGACTTGTAGTGACCCTCCTATCTCTGGCTCCCTAATACTGGTGTGCCACCACACTTGCTTTCAGGATAGAACTCAGGTCTCTGCACTTACTAGGCAGGTACTTAGACCACCAAGCAATCTCCCCAGGCCGAATTGAAGATATTTATTAGCAATAACCACACTTTGGATAAACCTCACTGGTTATGACACTGCCACCATGCAAAGCTGAACTAAAATATTAATGTAAACTTTTTCTTTTAAATATTTTGTAGAGCCTACATTTTAAAAAATAATATGAACATCAATATCATGCTCATAATTTAATTCATTTTACCTTTTTTTTGCCTGTTACTGTCCATTCTTTGAGTACGTCGCTGGCACTACCTGTAAAAGAAACCAATCACAGATTCTTTTTTCCCCTACAACAGTCAAGTAGGAATTAATGTCTCTGATTCTTATAACTGCCTAAGAATTTCCAAAGGTCCTAATAAGAAAATTTAAGAGGCCCAGGGAGATAGCTCATTAGAATAAGCATTTGCCTGGCAAGTACAGGGTCCCGAGTTCAGTTCAATCCCCGGTACCACAAACAAAAAAAAAAAAAAAAAGAAAAGAAAGAAAGAAAGAAAATTTAAGGATCAAATCTTAAAATAATGTAATGAGATAAATCACATCATGTTTCACTTTTAAAATATTTAAATCCCCTTCTCCATGCAATTTCCCTGGTGAGCTCTTCCACGGAGAGACTAATGTAGCATGGCCATTGTGAAGATTCTTTACACTGTACTCCAAATACAAAGGTGATTGGCTTCTGCTCAAGTGGGCCGTGCATACATTTCCCTCTAGGTTCCACACCACCATATGGATTTGGAGACAGCTGCACACTTCATCAGACCCATAACATTATAAAGAAGATAGATGAAGGTGAAGAAGACTTTTATACTATTTAGAGCTGCTTAACCTGTATTTGAAAATTTAAAAAGTTAGAAATGGAGACCTAGCCAGACATTGCTGTTCAATGACAAAACAAATTCAAGTAAGTTTTTCCTCAAACAAGTTACATAGAAAGAGGGCTATATGATACACATTGGCTCTATGAATCTGAAAGATTGAATAAGCCTACCATTCTTCTATATGAACATAAAAGAAACTTAACAAACATTTGAGTCACCTGCCAGAGCCAAACTAAATGAAGACAGATCTTCAAAGAGAATGCTGAGTTCTTCAACTGGCCATCTGATGCTGGGGCACAAAATCACTTCTTTGTTATAAAGTCACTTAAATTTTCATCCAGTTTAACTCCAATTACATTGGACACATGCTTTCTTCTTAAATACCAGTAGAGAATATTCTGTGTTAAATAACAGCTTTCTTAGTTTGTTTCTTATCCCCGGTATCACATAGCTTATGAATGAATTGCTTATAGGCCAAAAGAAACATTAACAAAATGTCAAGGTATGTTATTTATCACAGATACTGCTGTATCAACTGTGAAATGGTGCATTACTGAGTATTCTAAAAGGCCACAGTAACTTTCACTGAACAAACACAAACTTATTTAAAAAATGGGCTAAGAGTACCTTCCATGAATGCTTGCACTGTTTTGTCCACACAATTATCAAAGTGCTGCAAAACCAGGATGATTTCATTGTTGCTTTTATTGGGAACTACTGCACGCACTGCATTTATCTAGAAAAGATGACAGGATCATTTAATTCTATCATCAGTAGGTTACTAGAGAACTGAGGTTCATTACAGAGAACAGAAAAATGACATTTGAATTTTCAACATTTTTCTTCAGTGTGAGTACATACAACCATCTCACTAGAAAGAAAAATAGATGACCAACATCAGCACATGAAGAATTTCAACACTTTAGGCAGAATATTTACAGAAACAGAAGATGTGTACATTTCATATCAAAAAAGGATAGTTTAATTTAGGTAGTAGGTATTAATTTAGCACCAATATTTCCTCACTTTAAGCATGCTGCAGGAAAGGGTGAAATGTTTAATGAAACACCACCACCACCACCAACAACAACAACAAATATATATATATATATATATATATATATATATATACACATTATCTAAAAAATAAATATAGGGGGGCCGGGGAGATGGCTCAGTGGAATAAGTGCTTCCCTGGCAAGCACAAGGCCTGAGTTCAACCGCTGGCTCCGCAAAAAAAAAAAAAAAATAATAAATAAATAAATAAATAAATAAATAAATTAATTTATTTATTTTATACGGAGGACCAAACTCAGGACTCTGTGCTTGCCAGGCAGATGCTGAAGCCACTTATTTATCTCCCTGATCCCCCAAAATACTTAGATTTTTATATAGCACTTTTAAAAACACTTTTACTTTTTTTTTTTTCAGAACCGGGGATTGAACTCAGGCCCTTTCTACTGAGCTATCTCTCCAGCCCCAACACTTTTACATTATGTCACCTTATAACAACTCCACAAAGATTATTTAGAGGTAACCTGAATTATTACAAACTACTTCAGGTACATAAAACAACACACTATCTTGTATCTTCACATTAGCCTACCCTACACTATAGCGCATACTGTTTTAATTTTTTATTCTTTTCTCTACCTTTAATCCCAAACTTACTCCACAGAACCTATGTTTTTTCCATTAATAAATGTGAAATTTGCCACTATTTAAAAAAATAAACACATACTCAGTGACACTCAGTTTAATAAAACAATCTCTCCTTTCTCTCTAGAGACTTCTACTCTAAATTTGGTGTTAGGGAGATAACACCAACAGTGGAATAAGTGCTTGCTTGCCAAGCACAAGGTCCTGAGTTAAATCCCTGGTACCAAAAAAAAGATAAATTTGGTGTTAACTTCAATACATGCTTGCATTTTTAGGATGATTGTATATCTATAATCTATGCTATTATTTCATACTATTATCAAGGACCTGGGGTTTCAAGACAGATCAAGCCTCACCTTACACTTACCTCCAACCCTGCTATGAACCTAATAATGAATAAAGTCAGGGAGAGGGTGTATGTCAGTAAGAAGATTTTCTTATTTATCATTTCTCTGAAGGTGAAATATTTTAAAAATCTTGGCCTCACATAAAACATGTTTCTTAGTGTTTTTCTTTTTGGATATGAGTCTCACTATGTAGTTTGGACTGGCCTTGAATTCACTATATAGCCAAGCTGGTCTTGAACTCCCTGTGATATTCTAGTCCCAGCCTCCCAAGCTCTGAGATTACCATGCCTGGCATAAGACCTGTCCAATCCTTTCTGCATGACAAACCCTGGGCCTTCTGGTCCTCTGTTGCAAAACTTATTTGCTACTGAGTCCAGCATTAGTCAGCTAGTTTTGAGTTGCCAGTCTGGGTTTTAGTTCCATCTGTAGTTTTGGCCCTATGGGTTTCCTATACCTTTTATGTTCAATTATATATTTAAAGTAATACATTTTGGGCAGAAGAGATAGCTCAGCGGACTAAGCACCTGCTTAGGCAAGTGCAGGGACTTGGGTTTGAATCCTGGCACTATATGCCGTGCTGGCCCCACCTTGGGGTGAGCTGAGCCAGCCACCAAGTCTGGGCATGGTGGCGCACGCCTATAATCCCAGTGCTGGGGAGGCTGAAAACAGGAGGATCACTAGGAGTTCCAGCTATGCAGTGAGACTCTACCAAATACAGTAAAAAATAAAAATAAAACCAAAATAACACGTTACTTTTCTTTTTTTATTTTTGTAAGCCAGGGTCTTGCTATGTAGCCCAGCTTTGAACTCATAGTGATCCTACTGCCTATAACAGGCTCTATCACTATACATAGCTAGGAAGATTGTCTTTATTTGTTGTTTTTATTCCATTAGGTTAAGACTTCCGGACAGTGGCCTGCCTTATCCTGGGATAAACACAGTATCTTTTTTAAAATAAGAAAGCATGCAGGGGCTGGAGAGATGGCTCAGTGGTCTAAAGCACCTACTTGAAACAAGCTTGGCAAAGCACAGGGACCGCGGTTCGATCCCCAGCACCACATGCCAGCCAGACCCGCCCCCTGGTGGGCTGAGCTGGCCACACACACACACACAATAAATAAATGTAATAAATAAAAATAAATATTTAAAAAAAAAAAAAAAAAAGAAAGCATGCAGAAGTTTTGTTTGTTTGTTTTTTTTAATCAGTATAGCCTGTTATGGGTTATGTACTGCTAAAAACTACATTTTCTTCCAAAGAAATGCTACTGAAAAAAATCCACTGTTTTTTCTCTTAAGTTTCCTAGACTTAAGAATGATCTTAAAGATGAGTATACTGGCACACACCGGTAATCCCAGCACTGCAGAGGGTCAGCAAAGGGACTCCTGCGAGTTCCAGGCCAGCCAGGACTACATAGTAATTTCAACTGCAAGGCCAGCCTGGGCCACATAATAAGACCCTGTCTCAAAAAACCCAAAAAATAAAAAAGAATGGTCCTGAAGTGACTGGGAGGACCCTATACACTAGCCTGTTCCTTAAGAATGCTGCCAAATGAGAAACACAGAGATACATGAGATACATTTATGATAAATATTTGTTATGACAATGAAGTAATGAATGTCTTCAACAAAATTTAGAATGAATATATATGAAGTTATACAAAGAAAGCTATGTTCACAGCATGGTTTAGAATCATTATGGTAGTCTTACTGATATACAGTGACAATCTAAAGTTTTGTTTTTGCAATTTTGTTTAGTTTTTGAGGCTAGATCTTGTTACATAGTCCAGGCTGGCTTCAAACTCCCTATGTAGCCCAGGCTGGCTTCAAACTTGCAATGATTTTCTCTCAGATTCCTGAGTGCTGGGATTACAAGTGTGCACCATTATATCCTGGGCTCATAATGAGTCTGTAATGGCTAATGATTAGTTCCTAAGTCTTCCAGAAACTAACAAACATTTAAGTTTGTTGTCTACAGTAACCAGTCTTACCTTCTCTTTCATGTTCTCAAAAACTCCTCCTTGGGCCAGTACAGTATTAGACTGCAAATCAAAAATGAATCCTGATGAATCTGAAAGAATGAGAAGGGATTACTATATTCAACACAATACAAAATTAAAAACATGACCACTTTTCTCCCACATAAAATTAATGACTTAGTTATCTCTCCCTTCCCATGATGCAGCAAGGGAAAATTTTGAAAAAAGGAGTAATTTGAAAAAAGAAATATAATGTTGATTTTTCAAATCATTTTCCTACTACTACTGATGTGTTTTAACTGAAGCTTCTTTTACAGTTTGATTTTTATCCCACTTCCAAATACCTTCAATATGCTATGGAAGACTGATCACTTACAAGTTAGAATGACAACATTCTGGCACTAAAAAATGACATGCACATATAAAGCTCGATTCAGACATAAACCTCCCAATACCCAACCTGTATGCCAGCAGCAGCACTGTCTTCAGCTCAACACTGGTGCTCTTGGAAAATACAGATTATCACATAAAATGATAAGGTGGAGCACAGAATCTTGCAAACACCTGGACATTTGAAGACACCCAAACATTTACATAGACTGATGGATGCCTCAAGAACTTTGCCCAGAAGTACAAGACATCTTGAGAACTTTAACCACTAACATTTACTAAAATCTTCCCACCTAAAGACCCTTGCCTTCTTTCAAGTCCTATACAGAAAAGGCCAGCTTCTCTTTGCTCTCTACAGTCAGCCTTTTTGCCCCATTTGCCTGTACCCAGGCACAATAAGTTTTACATCACGTTGCCTTTACAGAAGTCTCAGCTGGTCTCTGCCTCAGGTCATTCCTTACAGAATAGAGCTTATGTTATTTGTGGAGAAATTATGCTTTCTAATTATTAATGAACCTTGACTTAGCCATTTCTAGACTTTTTAAATAAAAAATCAACTGTTAACACAAAGCCGGTATTTAAGACTGAATCTCCAAGATAGGCTAATATGTTATCTCCCAGTTATCTTTTTCAAATGAAAGGAGACCTGGGATAAAAAAATAATTCAACATAGGCTAGGCATGGTGGTACATGCTGTATTCCCACTTGGGAGGCAGAGACAGGAAGAATGCCTTGAACTGGAGGCTAGCCTGGATTATAATCAGTTCAAAGCCAGCCTACACTACAAAGCAAGACCCTATTTCAACAAAACGAAGTTGAAAAACTTCTAGGAACCATCCACAGGGCAGCTGGCACAGCATATAAGACCTGAGATAAAAGCTCTCCCTAAGATTCCCAGGGACTACACTTACGCGGTGCCCCATGGTGAAGTGCCTCATTCCCTGCTAACACCACAACATGGACACCCAGGGTAGCAGCTGCCTGCACAACCTCAAGGACAATGGGCCTGCCCTCTATGGCATCAGTACCTTCTTGCAGTTCACTCAAAGGCTGCACTGACTGCCCCCTGAATACACAGACTGCCTAGCTCTAGGGAAAAGACCCCATAGCTTGTAAGAAATCCCTGCAGAACCTACTCAAAGCAAATACCCAACCTAGTGCCCTGACCCACTGTCCAACTTATCCTTCAGTGTCTTTTATTTTTTCCTTAGTCTGTCCTTTTCTTGATTTCTGCGTAGAATACTATCTTGAGCTGCGGTGTTGTTTTTGTTTTGTTTTTGAAATTAGGTCTCTGGCTGAGCTGTTATAATGCATATTAAATAAACATTTTGATTGTGTTTTGTAAAATAAAAAAATAGAACTATCACATGATCCTGAAACTCTACTTCTGGGATTATATACACAAAAGAATTGAAAGTGGAGCCCTAAAGACACACTCACTCAAATGTGATTAACCATGCAGGACACAATAACAACGCATCTATGGTTCCTTCCCTCTTACAGTTTTACAGTCTATTGCAAGAGGCCAGTAAAAGATATACTGGCCATCTCACTATGAGCACAGCTATATATTAAGTATATATGATAAGACTCTCATAACTCTATTAAAGAGTGGAGATTTAGGTCAATCACCTCAGATTCTATGTAAAGAAGTTTTGTTTTGTTTTGTTTTGTTTTAAGTTTAGTAATATACAAGGCTCTGGTTCAATCCTTAGTGCCACCAAAAAAATAAAATAATGAAGTTTAGTGGAGCTAATCTTGTGCACATATCTTAAGAGTCCCTGAAATACTGAGTTATCATCAGAACTTTAAAGATGGATGTGATGGCCCATCACTGCAATACCAGTTCCTTGGAAGAATGACAAAGATGAACACAAATTTGAGTTTAGCCTGAGCAACTCAGCAAGATAGTCGTAAAATAAAAAGGCCTGGGGATAAGTTCAGTGGTAGGTGCTTGCCTAGCATGTGCAAAGCTCTGGAGTTCTATACCCAACACTGTACAAGGCAGGAAGGCAGTCAAAAACTTTTGGGGGCTGTGGTATTAAAACTCAAATAAATCTTACTTATTCATTTGGTACAGGGTTTTACTACACAGCTCAGACTCTAATGACCCTTCTGTCTCAGCCTCCCCAGTGCTGGGATTACAGGCATGTGCCACCATGCCCAGTTTCAGTAGCTGGCATGGTGTATCTGGGATTCTGGTGCCAGCACAGCATGCAGCACTGGGGATCAAACCTGGGTCCTTGCACATGCCAGGCAGGTGCTTATACTGCCAAGCTATCATCCCAGCCCAAAACTCAAATAAATCTTGAATTACTAAAATCAACACAGAATTCTTCAGCATCTAGATGGCAGGGAGTAAGAAATATATAAATTTGAAATCTCCGAGGCCAAGGATGTAGCTCGCAGGTACAGTGCCCACCTGGCAAGCATGAGGTTCTAAATTTGAACCCCTATACAAAAAAAAAAAAAAATTCCTGGGGCTGGGTATGGTGGTACATGCCCAAAATCCTAGCACTCAGAAGCCTGATGGAGGGGCCGGGGCAATGGCTCAGTGGAATAAGTGCTTCCCTGGCAAGTGCAAGGACCTGAGTTTAATGCCCGGTTCCACAAAAAAAAAAAAAAAAAAAAAAAAGGAGCCGCCACCTGATGGAGGAGGGGTGCCAGGAGTTCAAAGCCAGTCTTAGCTAAGTAGTAAGACCCTGTCTCAAAATAATAAGTTGGTCGGGTTTTCTGAGCTGCTGTTCCATCTTTGAGCCCAAGTGAGCAGCAGCAGGGTTTTGGTATGTCCTCTTCACACAGCATAAAAAATGACAATTGCAGCCAGGTCAACATTTGAACCTGCAAGAGGTGGAAGAGGAAAAGGAGATATATATA